GCACGAAACGAACGAGCGCGGACCATCGATCCGCGGACGCGGAACGAATTTTGCATGCGCGATATTTAAATTTCCGGACGTGTTCCGTTTCGTATCATTACACCGAACAGATTCGTACGTGACGCCGCGGACGAGACTAACGCTCGTCCCGTCGGTTTTCCTGTTTTTTTAATAAAGATCTCTGATAACGCGATTTGGTAAATCTCCGAGATACCAACCGTGACGATTGCGTTACGATACATTCCGACGCATGGCGTTCGGTGTTACTTGGCCGGATATGGTGTAAAAATAACCAGTTCATATTCTCCACGTGCCCTCTATCTCTATCGAACACATTTGTCTAAATTAAATGGTAAGCTTAATACTTCCAAATAAATCTCTCATTATGAACGTGTACACGACTAAACTTCACGCGTGTGTATATTTATAATAAACAAATGGACAAATTTCTTGAATAAACATAAAGGGTACGAATACTTATGGAACTGACTGTACGTTAAGGTTTTCTCCGTCCCTTTGGTCCCTGTCCAAATGGTTCTATTTAGCACCGTATTCCCTGTAATTCGAGCCTGTTCGTTTCTTCTTTCTTTCCTATACCTTCGCTTTCGTTCGATAGTTCGAAACCAAGGCGCGAGGTGTGCGCGCAAAATGGCAGACGATTCTCCGAGTTTCCTTGTATCGCCTATCGATTAGCGACCACTTCGCGCAATACCTGGACAGATCCAGCGATGGTTTCGTTCGCGTACGATCGGAGGCAAAGTTCGCAGCCGCGTTATCCGTCCTCGAGCAGCTGTAAGCCCTAAAACTCGTTCCAATTACTCCGCCGGTCACGTACGCTCCGCGGAAACTAGAGCCTCGCGTTAACCGACGCACAGCGCAGAGAACCGTTCTTCAGAAGCTTCGAAACGGTCGGTTACGAGTGCACGCACACTCGGGATTCCAGAAGAGCAGGGCGAGTTGCCCACGCGCCTGGAAACGGAACCGCGAGGGAATATAACGCGAGCGCAAAAAACCGTCACTCGACCAGGCGAGAACCTCCGCCGACCACTTGCCGCGACGCGACGCACCGCGACGCGTGCATTTCGCGTCGGTGCTCCCGCAATGCTCCGCTCCTTTTCAAATAAACCAACGCTACTCGTACTTTTTCCTTTCTTTCGGTTCGTGGCACGGATCTCGTTTGGTTAAGCGAGACTCTCCGCACGTTCCACGTCGGGTCATTTCTTGCGCGTTTGCATATTTCGCTGCGTAAGATTTCACATCGGGCGGATAAAGGTCGATTCAGACTATACGACACGGACCGTCACGTTCCAGCAACGACACGACAAAACGTTAAAACACGCGTTTTAACGGAACTATTCACACTCGACAGACACCGACCTGAACGTTCCGTCAACGGGAATAGTGCGAATAGTTCCATTAAAACGTGTGTTTTAATGTTTTGTCGTGTCTTTGCCGGAACGCGACGGACCGTGTCGTATAGTCTGAATCGACCTTAACTCGTACAGGGTGTCCTGTGATTGACGGCGCGAGCGTCGTACGAAATTTTGGCAACGAGTCGGCTGGATTTGTTGTAGCTGTATTTGCTGTACCGAAGGCATTCCTATCGTTTGGACCGAAGCCATCGAGCGATTGAAAGTTGGACCATTAATTATTCCATCGAAACGCCGATGCTTTAACGAAGTAGGTCAAAAACGATTCTTATTCGAGTACTCGACCGTGTCACCTCCTCGCGTTTTTCAAGCACTCGAGGATACGAGTGGAACAGGAAGAAATTGGTCGGGCCTACAGAGCGCGAAACTTTCAACTACATCGCATCCTCGATGACACGATCGTATCGAGAAACTACCGAGAAGATTCGGAGATAGTTCGTTTTCCGTTTTCCCTGGGAAAAACTGGGCTTGGTTGAAATTGCTTTGCGAGTTAATTTAACTTGTCTCGCTACTTACGAAAACCTCGACGAGGTTTTAACCCTTTTCACTCGGAGCCATTTCGTTACGAAATATGCAAACGGTATTATGTTACTTGTATTATGTTACTTGCAAAGCATGTAATTCATTGTAACGATACTTGAGCTTGTACGAATCTTCAGACATTGAGGAGCATATTCGTGTCAAAAATAAAAATTTTGTACTGTTCTAATATATCATAAAGTGTGAAAGAGTCATAGATATGCACTGATGGTTCCTATCTTTCAAGTTCAACAATCTTACGAAGCGCTATCCGACATTTTTGCAAAGGAAATTGTGGTTCAAATTCTGAGACACCCTGTATAATATCCTACTAAATGTACCATATTTCGATTCGATTCTTCGTGATATTTGAACAGAAACCATCGAGGAATCGTACACTTTTACAAATTTTACATAAGTTTATCCAGCGTAATCACTAAGTAAGGTTTGCACGGACTTACGATGCCTCGGAAGAGACATCCGAGTGGAAAGGGTCAATCCATTTCCGTAGACCTATTAAACGTAGCGATTTCAACTTTCGTTACCTTAGACGTAACAACCGTTATTTGTATTACTCGCAGCAGAGGGTCCGTTCCCGTTTACCGCGATAAAAACCACGAGTGTCTATAAAATAGCGTCTACAAAAACGGTTCATTTTCCCTGAAAGGTTTCGCACGCGGAAAATTCAGCGAAGGATCGCGTGTACGCGACGAAGATTCCGCTCGTGCTGCTGGAATATCACGACTCGTCGCGGAGCTAGCCGGAACGCGAGGAACGAGGTACGCGAGTCGCGTTATCGCGTGCACAATTCGTTTCCGCGCGAAACAAATGCTTCTCATGGAATAGACCACGGTCAGGAATGGCTGGGGTATTTTTAGAACTCCTCGAGCTTAGCGAGACTCGATCGTCGGGGGCACGACTATTAGCGTAATTGCCGGGGCGCGCGTTCCCCTTGACTCTGGACAGCGAGTTGATTGCACAGCCGGAAGAAGAAGCGAACTTCGGCGCTAGCGCCGGCTTGCGACGGGATCGAACCTATCGCGTCGATATTTCCTCCATAACGTTTCGGAACCGTACGTACACCGCAACGAAAAAAAAAAAGAAAAAAGAGTTATAATCGAGTGCGTTGAAAACGCATTTTCCCATAAGAGTCCGCGTTAAAAAGTGAAAAATTGAAACATTTATAGTTATTTCTCAGCATTTAGGTACTCTAGCCTTCCCAAAGTTTGTGTGGGTGTTTTTGGGATGAAATCTAACTCCGTATATAATTTTTTATAATTTTCATGGCGTTATTTCTATTCGCACCAGAGCCTCCTTAAACGAATTAACCCAATGCACTCGAGACGCTTTCTCAGCGTTTTATTGGCACGAATGCTGAGCTTAGATCGACTTCGAAGATGCGAGATTGTCATTTTATCGACAGTTTCAGTTTCGAAGAAATTAAACCTGAACAAGCGTTATCGATTTGCCTAACCTATTCACATCGTAATCCTTTTTCCCCGGTCTACGACAGCTTCGCGAAATTGGCTACTCGCTTTTCACTTTGAGCGTTAATTAATTCGCGAACGTGTAACTACACGCGTACAATATCTATAGTATCGCGTTTTTAGAAAGATTTTAAACGTCACGCGACGAGGGATCTCGAAGTCGTTCGGGACGGAATGTAAATTCGAAAGAGCCGTGGCAAAGGCGAGAAGCAAACATCGAGCGTGTCCGTGGGAATCGGCGGATACGAAATTGTTACACGTATTACTCTTCCGGATCGCTGGCCATTTATTCACCTCCCTTTCGTTGTCCCTCCTTTGCCACGCGGTAAAGCACGCGGGATATAAACGAGAAGCGAGACGTGGCCCGATCACGTGAAACGTGCCGCGAACCGTAAATTGGAATAGACACGATGCTCGGAGAGAGAATGTTGCCGAGCGAATCGAGATATTATCCTTCTATCCCGGTCTCTCCGTCCGTGTCCTTCACCCTTTATCGCCGCGGTAACGCCGGTGGTAACGATAGCTCGGCGTTCCCGTAACCTGCCAAAGTCGTAAACGTGCTTATAAGTAACGTCCGTCGAGTGTCCTCCTCCGATTTCGACGAAACTTGGCGAGTTCGTGGAGCGGCGAAGATACGTTTTTAGCGACGGTAAACTCGAGTTTAAGAAACGAAACTACCCTTCCGAGTTTTCAGCCCTCGCCATTTTCTCATCCGTCGGTTATCCGAGGAAGTTGACGCGTTGGCTGCCGAGCTAACTCGTGAAAATTTCTACAAGGTTAAGATTTTCTCTCGAGACTATGAAAAATTAAATAATTTCTGTCGTAATTTTATCTGTCGTAGTATTTAATATTTCTAATGTCGTCCGATTCACGAATCCTGTCCAGAGTTTATTTTCATTACTCTCTCACCTTTGAAATCAATTTTTTTAGTTCCCTATATCCCTAGTTCCCTAATATCCTCTCTTCCTCGTATCTCTCACAGTTTTCGAGATATGATCGACGAACGAAACTTCGGAGAGTAACCGCGGTCTCTTAAACGTAAATTGTCAGCGCTGCGAATGCACGTGTCTTTATTCCCGGTCGTTCTACGAAGCTGAAAAGCTTCGTCGAAGTCGGGTACGGGGGTGTGGGACGGCGGGGAGTTACTTTACGGATATTCCTCGTTAGCGGCAGCACTCTCGCGGCATCTCTAGACACCGAGGACTACGACTCTGGGCTCGCTCTAGAATCGCGGTACGTCATCGTGACGGCGTGTTTCGGAAATCGAGATATCCCGTAGCGAAACCCGGCTACGATTCTTTCCGCGACGACGCGACGACGTTCCTATTCTTGGATCCGCGGCGGAGACGCGGTCGGGTTTATGCTCCGATTCGAGAACGTTCGCGTCGCTGAACACGCGTGAAAAGTGAATCTCGTCGAACAACGTCTATGTCCTAATCTAAGCATCTGCATCTACGTTCGAGCGATCTGGTTAACAAATGTCTAATGGAGCCGCTGCAGTCTAATTCTGCGAGCTAACGCTAAGAGGCTACACGAGGCGTAACAACTGAAAGAAATCACGTACAACATTAAACGTTGTCGGTCTAAACTCCACTACGCTAGATCAGGATTAAAAGATGCGTCCACGGTTGTCTGGTGGTGGTGGTGGTAGTAGTAGTAGTAGTAGTAGTAGTAGTAGTAGTGGTAGTAATAGTAGTAGTAGTAGTGGTAGTAGAAGAAAGACGTATAAGACGGTGGTCCGTCGAACGAAACGCAGGCCCGCATGCAAAAGGTAACCTCGTACGATTAGCCGATGGAAAAGATAGAGAACGAGAGACGCGGATGGGTTAGTAGTAGGACCGTACCTCGTGTCGCCGTGTTCCTCCGCACCATTCCGGTGGGGGCGTAGGTCCTGCCTCGGTTTGAGGACAGGGGTCAGCCCCCATTTCTCGATGAACTCGGTGCGGGAAATCTTGGCGCTTCGCGGCGGTTACGAGAGGGGGCGGATCCCCCTCCCGAGCCCCATGCCCCCGGAGAGCGGTGCACCCCCGCACAACACGCACCCGACGATGCTTCCTCTCCACTCCTCTACGCGGCACTCCTCCGTCTCCTGCCTCTATGCTCCTCCTTCTTCTTCTCCTTCTCCACCTCCTTCTCCTACCCTCTTCTCTTTCCTCCGTTCTCCACCCGCTCACCGCCACCCTACGAACGCCCAACCCCGTGTGCCGTGGGTCCGAGTTATCGGCACCCCTTGTCTTTTTTCTTCTCCTGCTCTACCACCCTACATCTCCTCTTTACTCTCCATTCTCTGTCCAGTGGTTCGCTCTGTCGCACCAACAACACCAACGGACACCGACACGAGAGACCGATCCACCACGAGTAAACCAGCACGAGCACTACCAAAAACGATCACTGTGACGCGGCGGCGAACACCGACGATCAGCGACGCCAAGAGGCAGCACCAGCAGCACAGTCAGTAGCGCGGCAGCAGCGCTCAACACACAGCCACCTATCAAAATGGCTGCTCTCTCTCTCTCTCTCTCTCTCTCTCTCTCTCTCTCTCTCTCTCTCGCTTCTTTCGAAACCCGCCCCTCTGGAAATCTCTTTTCGTCGCTCAACCTGCTCTTCGTTCCACCCCTACCCCTATCCTTCTCCGTTTCGTCTCGGTTTCGCTCTTTGCTTTCGGTCCCTGTTCGGGACGGTAACGTTTGCTTTTTCACTTTTCGTTTCTTCCTCGCACTATCCCCCTCCCCCTTCGGCTCGCTCTCACACGCTCTATCTCTTTCTTTCACGCACGCATTCAACACTTCCCTCGCTCTCCTTTCATACGTTCATATCGCGCTACACGTTCTCCTAATCGCGCATCCCCTTTGAACCTGAGTACGGGGTCCAGCAGAAACGGAGAAACGGAAAAGATGCCGATACAGGGGTGGAAGTGGAGTGTGCCGGAGCCAGCAGGAAGACGTACAGGAACCGTTAACTGACGCGGTGCGTTCCGTCACTCTGTAGCATCGTTCACTCCCGATCACTGACGGTGTCGGTCGGCGACAGGAGCGAGCGGAACCACGACAAACGAGAAAACGAGAGGCGAGAGCCAGGCCGAACAGCACCGTGGCAGCCGCGGCGCACGAGCCATCGATGACCGTTCGTTCGACGAGCAGTCGCGGACAGGCGAACGAGACGACCGGGCCGTCGACAACGGCAACGACAACGCCTTTGTGCACGGGGACGGTAACCGCGGCACGCGTCTCCTCGTCGCAACGGCGCGGAAAATCTCGATCAAATGGATCGCGACCGGCCGACTGAAGCGCCTCCACCGGGAGACACCTATCATCTGAACGCACTGTTCGGGTACGCACTGACACACGTATGTACACTCTGCGAGCTTTTCGCGACTTCTCCGCCTTTTCTCTTGGTTCCGTCCGTACGTTCGTCCGTCGTTCCTTGATGTTTTCCGCCCGTAGCTCGACGTTGTACGTAGTCGTGTATCTCTGTCCGTTCGCCTCGCCTCGCCTCGCCTTGCCTCGCCGCGCCTCTAAGCTCGTCTCGTCGCGCCTGCTCCCTGTCGCTCTCGGTCTCGGTCGCACGCGCGCCTCACACCCGACCACGAGGATCGCGGACCAGTCGACGGAGAGTTTTCCGTGCCACCTCAGCGCTACGCCGACGAGAACTCGTCTGAGAAAGGCTACCGTCGTTCTACGTTCCGCACGCGCTCTCCTCTCCTCTCCTCTCCTCTCCTCTCCTATCCACTCTTTCTCTCTTTCTCCCACGAGAGCGTCGGTGGAGGCTACGGTGGAAGATAGCACCGATGGAGGTGGAGGTGGAGGTGGAGGCGGAGAGGTGACGGTGGTGGCGGCGGTGGTCGTGCCGCTGCTGGCGGTAGCCGGTGGTGGTGGCAGAGAGGAGATCGTACCGGTGCTGGCAACTACGCTGGAGAAAGAAATATATCGCGAATAGAAAGACGATGTCGTAACAAAAGCTCGCTGTACGCCCCAGCCACCTTCGTTACGCCTGTTTTTCCTTCCACCTTTGCCCGCTCTCGTTCTTCCTGCGCGTACCTGTCTTCTCTCTTCTCCTTCTCCGCTCGAGCTTGCAAACCTGCGCGCTTCTACCGACGCTTCTCCGTCTCTGTTCCCCTCCGTTTCTCACCTGCCCGATCGTTCTCTGTTACTCTAACCGTCGCACCCCACCACGATCGCCACCCAACTTTCCTCTCGCTCTTTCCCACCCCTCCCGCGCTTTTTGCTATTCCTCTCTCTCGCTAATTTCCCCTTCGCCTCGGGCTACCTCGCCGTCTACTTTCGTTTCGCGAACTCTGCGATCATCCATCGTACGCGGCCCCGTTCTATGCTCCACCAACCTCTTCTTCCACGTCCCCCTATCGCTCTCGCGAGAACGCGTGCCCGAGCTATGTCACGCAGCGCTCACGGTCGGTGTTTTACTTCGTTCCTGCGAAAAGCGACGAGAGGGTAGAACCGGACCACGTGCCGGATTTTGCGCGACGCTGCCGGGACAGGTATCGTTGAGGGTATCGCGTTTGGTACGCGGAACGAAATGTTCTCGGAGCGAGGAGAACGTAAGTAGAATGCCGACCGTGTCGAGTAGTAGTTTCTTTCGCGATGAAGTCGAGTTTATTTTCGTTGCTCGTACCATTTTTTTTACGCCTAGCGTAGGCCAACCGTTAACGGTGTCTGGGTCGTGCGAAACGAAACTGCAACGAATCGATCTTCTCGATTTCGTAATCGTCTATCGACGTATCGATCGAAAGCGTGACACTTGCGAACTTGAAGCGTGATCGAACGTAAATAAATCGTTTCACTTCTCCCGTTTCGAGATAAACTATTGTTTATAGGATGTACCGAAAAATCTTTCTTCAAGATTTTCAGGTCCGACCATCCCTCTATAATTCGGTGTTGTGGGGTACACGAGGTTTCGACTATCGGCACGAGGAGATCAATGGTTGTTGCGTAATCGTGCCGGGCAACGAGGTGCACCCCCTGCGCTCCACCCTCGGCCGTCCTCGCCACTTCTCGTGACCATCCTTGTCCCGCAACCCCTGTTCGCGGACCTCCTTCTCCCCCCTCTGCGGATAAGGCAGACCGCTGGTCGCGATCGAGGACGAGAGAGGGTCGACGCTATGCCAAAAACTCGCTACGGAACGATAAATCGGCCGCGGTACGCACGCGTTTTTGAACGCGACGTCGAACCGTTCGCGACGTAACGGACGATCACGAACAAAACGAACCCTCGTGAATTCACGTATCCGTTCTCGTACCCGTCCACCGTGCGCCATTTCTTCTTTCCACACGCGCGCGCATTTCTGTCAACTTAGTTCCGTCGTCGCACCGCACCGCGCCGAGCCGAACCGTTCCGTTCCCTTTCTTTTATCGCTGCCTGACTTTTTTCCCCTTTGCACCACTTAGTCTTCCGACAGATTTTATCCTCGCCCCGGCCGAGATCGCAATTTCTCAGGGGAAACTTCGTTGGACCCTTGATCGATAAGAGTCGCGGACGTTCAAGGGTGAGGCAACCGCGCGCCGACGGATTCTCGCGAAATCCTGACGAAAGTTCGAGCATCTCAAAAATTGTCCAGACATATCGGATGTCCCGTACGAGACGACATCGTTAGTCTATTTTATTATGGTTACGCAAATTTATTAGAGGTTACGCAGAATAAATTTGTGCTCAGGCGAATTTAAAAAAATCTTTTAATTTTGAATTCTTTTAAAAAAGTTTTCTGGTCGGAATTGCACGCGATATCAGTTTTGTTTCTATAATCTTTTTTTCCCGAATTCCGAACATCTCGTACGAATCTTGTATAAATTTGTTCGAATATACAACATTGACGGCATCTCGTTTCTTTAATTTACTTTCAGCCGACTATCCCGCTCGCGATTACCGGGGAGATTATGTACGCCACGATTGAGTTCCTTCCTCCGTTTTCCACCGGAAGTCCAGCCGGATACGCCAAGTATGCGACTTTGAAAGCAAACGCAAAGTACTCGGCAATCAAAGAGTTCATCTTTGACTTGGTACGAGCCTCGTTCGCTGTATCTCTTCGGCGTTATTTTTCTAAAAAAATAAAACGGAACGCCACAAAGAACGGGGCAACGTGAAACGAGTCCGACCGACACGAGAATCGCCCCGACGAACGAACCGTTCGATTTTCGAACGATGCTAGGTACCTTTGACCAACCTTGTCCACGAAGCGCGGGATTAACGCGTCAAGTGTCGGAGATGCACTAATATGGACATACTTATTCGTTAATCTGTGTTAACTTGATTTTTTTTCCATTTGTCTCGGACTATATTTTCATTCTGTTTATTCGTCCTTTGCCTCGTGTATTTTGAAATCTTGTACAAATTTGTTCAAATATACAGTCGGTACCACAAGTAGAACTCTTAAATAAGAGGTTTGATGTTTCCAAATAAATTAAAAAATACATTAGAAATATGTGACTCGAGATATCGAAGAAATTTGTCTAAATTCAATAATAGCTTTGATGTTTCCAAAAAAAATGATTCGTCATAAATATACGCCTAGAGACTTCACGCGTGCATATATCTATAATAAAAAATTCATTTGGAAACACCTATCAAACCTATCAATAAATTTAGTTAAATGTCTTCGATAGACATAAGAGAAGACTTACGGGATTGACTTGTAGGTCCGGTTTATAGACGCGTTGGGCAAATGTTTTTTTTTTAAAATGTAATCGCGCGTGACGGCGTGCCGATGACCTTAAATTATTACCCGAAGTAAACGCGTCGAGTCCGTCTGTGTAAAGACAACGATAGGTTTGCATCAAATATTGCCAAATGTCGTGTCGCGAAACGTCCGTGGCCTCGCGTCGCGCTTAACGTTTCTCGGACGTCTGATCGCGCACCGCTGACAGCTATTAATAATGTACACGACCTCGGTGTGACTCGCGATTCGTCTATGTAACGTTGTCGAGACACCTAGGTCTTCTCAATTGTTCTAGCGAGAATGTTAAGAATCCGCATAGGTACTCGCAAGACACGGCACAACCCCCTCGTTCATTCTCACCTTGAATACGCCAACGTGACTTGGTCACGCTCGCCATGCTGTCAACCGTTTAATAATCTCGTTCGTCTAGGTCATCGTGTTTCCCCGTGTCCGTTATCTCTCGTACTTCGCACCGACTTGCTCCCCGTACTTGGCCGCGATCGTTGATCGATAACTCGGTAAAGCACGCTGGGTATATTTTTGTTTGTCGTCGCGAACAAATTTCCGAACAAAATATGGAACGCGTTTCACTCGAAATCGAATCGAAAATACACGGACCTGCGAGAGTTCGAGAATTTGCTCGAGTTGTACGTAAATATCCCTGTAAAATAAATAAATAAACAAATCGAACGTTACATTCCCTTCGTTCCACCTCTTGGTCGCCTTGGTCCCTTTTTTCTCAGCGGCTCGAGAGTCCACGGGTCGCATCGATTTACAAGATGGAGTGCGCTGTAGTGACACCAGACAACGTTGGTCAGACCGTACTCCCGGCTCTCGTCCGAGCAACACCGATATTTCCCAGTTCGCGTTACCCGCTAACGAGCAAGAGGTATCGTTGCTACATATTCATGTCCGACTATGAATGAGTGGACTACGCGTGCATACGACCCCTGAATTCTACCGCGTACTCCGCACGTCTCGCGATTCGTATTTACCTCGCGCCGTGACTTGAAAGTAGGTTAAAGGTAGCGCCAAGGTATCGATATTCTATTAAAATAATATCGGAGATCGTCGCATTCTCGTTCGAAAGTATTTCGTCGATTGTTTATGACATGGCAAACATGATGGATTTTCGTTCATTTTCGTAGCTCGAACGAATCAACTCGTAATGGAGCGACGGGGAGCATGGTTGCGATGGCATAGACGAGAATCAAAAGCGAATGAAAATTCGAAGAGGCCACTCTTCGCCACTGCTTGAGACTCGCGCTATCCTTATTCGCGATTCGAAGGATAACGGACGTTTCGAGGTATTTATGCGCTTGTCGCTCTCGTCTTTAGTCCGATTTCTTTCAGACATAAAGACTGGATAAGTGCGAGGAGATCGGGACCTAAACGTTACATTTCTATTCCGTATTTACATTTGGCTCGAGTCTAGCGTCGACGGTGAAAAGGATAGGGAGTAAAAGAGAAAGAGGTCCGAGGAAGAAAGTAATCTGCAAAAGCGTATCAATCCGTTAGGATCGTGTTATACCGAGTGTCAAGGAGGAACCCCCTTAGTGGTAGTCGTGTTGGATTTATCCAGTAAATCCTGTCTTGCACTTATCCAGTCTTTACTGTAAAACGAATCTGTCCCGATGTCGCCACGTGGTTCGCGCAGGACTAAAAATAACGCGTACGGTAAACTTTGTTCCGCTCGACGCGGTATCCTCGTGCCGTCGTCGAGCACGCGCGCGCGCGCGCGCACGATCGATTTGTCCTAAACAGTCCTGACCAGACCAACAAACGCGTCGGTCGACTGGAAGGCGACCAATTCCGGCTGCGATGCTTCGCGAAATTATATTCGACGAACATCGAAGCGGGCAACGCTCGCGGCCGCGCGCAACAGTCGAGCAATATGTAAGCAGTTTTGACTGTCGACGTTCGAAAAAACAACTAGGCGAGATTATCGCTCGAAGCGAGAGCAGAAGCTATGAAACTCGGTGCTCCGTCGATGCCTTCGTGAAAGCTTTCTCATCGGGGACGATGGAATAATCGTTACAGAAACAATGCTAATTCGGTCTAACGATCGGCGACGGTTAATTAATCCCCGCAAACGGTTTTTCCAAGCCGTCGTTCCCTCGTAACGAGTTCCGAGGGCGCCTTCATTCATCGAACAGGAAAAAAAGGCGTGCATAGCCGGGCCGGGGTAAATGGAAGAAGAAATCGATGCCGGTGTCCCATTGATCGAGACGGAGGTTCTCGATCGCGGG